TATGCATCAAAATGGCTCAGACAGGAACTTTTCTTCTAGTTGCTGGAATTAAAATTGAAAAAAGGAAACTTAGAACATTGCAAAACATGGCTTGGAAGGCGTTTCTGTTGTTTGGTGATTTACGTTAATTTGCCCTATATATGCATCAAAATGGCTCCGACGGGTACTTTTTTCACTTCTCTTGTGATTGTTGGAAATAAGGTTGAAAAAGGCAAAACATGGTTTGGAAGGCGTTTCTGTTGTTTGTTGATGTAGGCTAATCTTCACAATTTGTTGTATATGCATCAAAATGGTTCCGACGGTTTTTTTTCCAGTTTAATGATTGTTGGAAATAAGGTTGAAAAGAGGAAACTTAGAACATGACAAAACATGTTGCAAAACGTTTCTGTTGTTTGGTGATTTATGCTTATCTTCACAATTTGCAATGTATATGCATCAAAATGGCTCCGGCGGGTCCTTTTTTCATTTTTCCTGTGATTAGAACATGGCAAAACATGGTTTGGAAGGTGTTTCTGTTGTTTGGTGATTTATGCAAATCTTCGCAAAATGCCAAAATTCACCATGCATGGAAAGATCAAACAGACTTGGGAAATCGGGAAAAATAACAAAAAACGCGTGCAATCAACTGCGGAGACAAACTTAGAACATCGCCACCAGCCAAACTATAGTTGTGTTGGTGGCCTATGTTCTAAGACCATGTGCGGACGCCCCCTGGTGGATATATTTAATTTTTGGGTATCTCATTTTGGAAGAAGTGGCGATATTCTAAGTTTTAGTCAGTTGCTATATATATATATACATGTATATTTACATATATCACATATGATCGACCTGATGGCGTTGGAACAGAAAGATATGACATGCATGTCACATTTCACCATGAATATAGATGAACTACTCCTCCTGACGCGCAGTGCCGCATCCCTTATCCCTCCGGAATACCCCTTGAGGCCCATTAGTTTGCAAAGAGACAGTTGAAACCTCCGATGGTACGATGGCGAGCGACCGCTACGTGCTGAGGGGTGTGACGTCCTGGGGTCAGGGCTGTGCTTACGAAGGCTATCCAGGTGTCTATGGGCGAGTGCAAAGTGTCCTCAGTTGGATTGAAGATACCATCGAGAACAAGGCAAGGTTGATGGCTACTGGCTGCTTCTTGCTGGCTGCTTGTAGGTAAGACATGTTGAGACACATTGAGACATCTTGAGACATTTTGAGTTGAAGAGATTAGAGTTTAGAGGTTTACACGACGCAGCGTTTAGTCGTTGCATGCTGTTCCGCAGCCCAGGTGAAGAAGGTCTATGCTGCTGATACCAAGGAGGATTTCTCCAGTCTGGATTTCGAGGGCAAGATGTGGAAGGTGGTGAGTGGTGAATGCACCATCGATGCCTCCGATTGTTTGCTGAGCCCCGGCTTTCCGGAAGCCTATGGCGATTCGCAGCAGTGCAAGGTGGCTGTGAATCCTCAGGGGGCCATGCCCTTGGAGGTGATGAATTTCACCACTGAGTTGGGCTTTGATAAGCTCTACGTGGATTGCAAGTCCTATTCGGGCGGTACGGGCCCCAATGGCGTGATCCCCAGCTCTTCCTTGTTTTGGACCTCGGATGCCTCCGTTACAGAGTCAGGCTGGAGGATTTGTCCGGAGGCCGTTGGACTTTTGCCATGACGAGGCCCTCGAGGCTACTGGTAGCCACCCAGTTTTCACCGCCGGCTGTGATGGTTGGCTTAATTCAAGACACGAAGCAGGCAATGCTTGGTGCGCCACTGGTTCGCAGAAGGACCTGGAATTCATACTATAGCACTGCGGCTTGATGCTTTGGCACAGATTTGCTGCAACTTCCAGTTGTCCTGAAAGGCGTGGAAGCACGAGAATACAGTAGAGGTACTCCCTCTCCCTCAGTTCCCTGCTTTTTTTGGCCGTAAAAGATATTGTGCCCATGGTCAACAGGTCCAATCGGTCACAAAACTGGTCAAGTGGTCAGAGTGATCAAAGTGATAAAATGTGCGCCAAGTCCTGAGGGCCACTGGGTCGTGGGATCTCATGTTTTATTGATTTATTGGGGATCATTTTAGGATATGATACTGTAATCATCTGTAACCCATAGGGACCCAGTTCAATGAACCAGCAAGGTCTGTGTGGAGGGCGCAGTCAAAGCAGGATCCTGGGATGGGATAGGTGCGCTTGTCCTGTCACCAACTGTGTAGCTGTTTCAGCACCGGAAAGGCGCCAATATGAGATGCGCCAGGGTATCATGGAAGTATAATTTCGCTGTGAAAATCATCATGCAGGAAGGTCATCACGAATGTCATGACAAAGGTCCGTTGACTCAATTGGACTCCCCGTGTCACATTGGACGTGAGCTTTGCCCGATGCTGGGCGATGACCGGCGGATTTGGGCAGGCCCAGGTGGTCCGGGGCCACAGGAAGGTGAACCTAGCGCCAAGTGTTGAGAGAAGAGGTCGTTTGCACATGGAAAGGCCGTGCACATGCATATTTCTGTGTCAGATATTTCATGTTCTCTTTAATATTTGATAAGATGATATTTGTATATGTAATAAATATATATTTGTCGGTTTATGTTGGTTTATGTTGGTTTGTTGTACGACGGTACGATGACATCTGCTGTTTGACTGCATGCCAAGACCTCTCTCTCCGTCTCTACGTAGCGTTTGTAAATATGCGTGTCTATATTTGACAACATTTTTCCAACATATTCACATGATTTCACATGTAGGGGAAAAATAGACAGATTGCGAAATACGTCTGCATTGCAAGTGTAGCAATCGTGCTTTTGCTCGTTTAATAATATTGACGTCAAAGACAAATTCTCTGATGCCCAAAGAGGCCCTCACAAGTGTGACATTCCCAAGGCTTTCTGGGTGAAGTGTCATTCACATCCGTGCTCGGTGCAGCCACAAGGTTGCCCTAGCATGGCTGGTGCTGGCCTCACATGAAGTTGAGATTTGTTGAGTCGCTGTGTTGGACAAATTCTTGCAGCAAGCTTTGGTCATGACACGGTCCAGTTGGGGTGGCATTGGTTGGAAATTGCTGAGCTATGCCGACCTACTCTTTTGATCCGATCTTGAGACGGCAAATGTGCACATGCTCCCGTGGGCTAGGTGTGGGACCCGCCATGGCAGCACTGTTTTTGCAAGGGGTTGACATGATGATTTGAATTCTCCTCTTGGTCTTTAAGATATTTTGACACCAGTCAGCAAGACATCAAGAAACAAGCATTTGCCATAGCCCTTGTGCCACACTTAGGGTCAGATGCTCACCAACTTCCTGTGGGTGCCTTTGGCATCCCATGCGAAGGCGCACTTTGGAGTCGCAGTTGCTGCCATGTGAAATCCATTAAAATTCTTCAGATGGAGTAGGTCTCATCTGGTCATTTGATGTTCTTTAATAATGGTAGTCTCTTGGCCAATGCTCCCATGCGGACGGATTTGCAACGACACCGCGCAGGCCTTGGGCTACAGCACTGCTGTGCTGGCGCCCATTTTTGCTGAGAGACTTGGCATCATGAGCTTAAGGTGGCAACACGTTGGTGCTTCGCACATCGTACTACAAAATACTGAAAATGCCAAAGACACCTCACCATACAGCAGCCGGCAGTTTCTGCTTGATTTTCATCAATGTTGGATATAGATTAGAGTACGCATGTGCACAGCATACTGCCACACACACACACAGACATACAGACATACAGACATACAAACATCCAGACATACAGACATACAGACATACAGACATACAGACATACAGACATACATACAGACATACAGACATACAGACATACAGACATACAGACATACCGACATACAGACATACACACATACAGACATACATGCATACAGACATCCATCCATGCATCCATGCATCCATGCATCCATACATCCATGCATCCATACATCCATACATGCATACATCCATACATCCATACATCCATACATCCATCCATCCATACATCCATACATACAAAAACATACATACACACACATAGATACACAGACATATACACACACACATACACACACACACATACACACACATACACACACATACACACATACACATATACACACATACACACATACACACACACATACATACATACATACATACATACATACATACATACATACATACAATACCATACCATACCATACCATACCATACCATACCATACCATACCATCCATACCATACATACCATACATACCATACATACCATACATACCATACATACCATACATACCATACATACCATACATACCTTACTAACATACCTTACTAACATACCTTACTAACATACCTTACTAACATACCTTACATACCATACATACATACCATACATACATACCATACATACATACCATACATACACACCATACATACACACCATACATACATACCATACATACACACCATACATACACACCATACATACACACCATACATACATACCATACATACATACCATACATACATACATACATACATACCATACATACATACCATACATACATACCATACATACATACCATACATACATACCATACATACATACCATACATACATACCATACATACATACCATCCATACATACCATACATACATACCATACATACATACCATACATACATACCATACATACATACCATACATACATACCATACATACATACCATACATACATACCATACATACATACCATACATACATACCATACATACATACCATACATACATATCATACATACATACATACATCATACATACCTACATACATAATACATACATATCATACATACATACATACAATACATACATACATTCATACATACATACATACTCATAACATACACCATAAAACATACCATACCATACCATACCATAACATACCAATACCATACCATACCAACATACATACATACATACATACATACATACATACATACATACATACATACATACATACATACATACATACATACATACATACATACATACTTACATACTTACATACTTACATACTTACATACTTACTTACTTACTTACTGACTTACTTACTTACTTACTATACATACATACCATACATGCCATACATGCCATACATGCCATACATGCCATGCATGCCATACATGCCATACATGCCATACATGCCATACATACCATACATACCATACATGCCATACATGCCATACATGCCATACATACCATACATACCATACATACCATACATACCATACATACCATACACACCATACACACCATACACACCATACATACCATACATACCATACCTACCATACCTACCATACCTACCATACCATACCATACCATACCATACCATACAATACCATACCATACCATACCATACCATACCATACACACACACACAATTGTTGGAAAAATAGATGATGCATGATGACGCGAGGTGGTTTTCGCAAGTTTTCGCATATGTTCTTGTTCTTGACACGACTCAGAAGGGGTGAACAGGGTCAGAACTTGTTTCTCATCCGTGAGATGTGCTGGGTACTTCATCAGCCGGGCCCGAGGGGTTGATTCTGTAGCCGGGCCCGAGGGGTGGTGCCCAAAGCATAGCAACATATCCTGATAATCCTTGCCTTTAAGCTTGCTTGTCAATGCTGCTCTTGAACGCAGTTCTGCTCAGCAGTTCCATT